AACCACCAAAAGATATCAGGCAATAATTCAGGAGTCAGACAACGTTCGGAACTACTCCCGCTAATATATCCCACTCTATTGCCTGATCTCCTGTAGTTCATTCTCACAATACATTGGGAATAGACCTTGTCCCACCAAACAATGTAAATCACACTGTAAACCACTAATCTATACCCATTAACCTATTGTCACTCCATTTATATATCTTAATAATTTGATATATATAATTCAGTCATAATTTACATATTTGATTTACATCTAAACAAACTCTATTCATATCATCAATTCAATAATTGTAAATTTATAGTTTTACTTGTCAATGGAAATTTAGAGAACACGTAACTTGAATCAGACTTAGAATTGACTTCCATTCAAATCTTCATCTCATTGTATTGTATTCTAAAATAACTTCAAAGCACAAAACTACACATGAAAATTAGGAACCCGACTTTTCCATCAAAGATCTCTAGCTGCTCCATTTCACGCACTGATCTTTTTTTACTTAATCAAAATCCATTCAGAATTAACGTCCAATTGCTTGGACATGGAAAGTCATCTCCAATTTCCGATAGGTTCTAACGCCAGGATGTCTTATGCTAATTCTTACTTGTCCAAGTTCAACTTGCGACTGATAAATACTTATAACGTTAAAATATGTTATCCTTTTCATTCCCCCCCCCCCCCCCCCCCCGCCGTTTTCTTGAGAACCAAACAGGTCCGAGAAATTTCCTAAAATAAAATTCACTTCCGAGATCAAAACCAGTGGGTAAAAAGGTAAAAAAAAAATCCCAAAATTCGTTAGGGTTCCAGCATTTTCTCAGCATCCAAACAGGCAGCAGAAATTCAAGAAAAGAACAGCAAAATCCATAAGAAATTCACTGATTACTAAATTGAAGATAAAGAAATAGAGAGCTGAGATAGAGAAACGCAAAACCTCAGGTGAAGAAACTTAAAAGCAGCAGTGAATCGAAGGCGAGCGTGAGACGAAGGCGAGTGTGTTAGCAAGGCGAGTGTAGCACGATGGCGAGTGGGCATCAGAGCGTAGAGAGATATTAGGGTTTCAATTTAGGGATCTGAGGATTTTTTTTGGGTTCTTAATTCCACTCGCTTTTCTCACTCGCTCCAGTATCTGCTCCTACCACCCGTCTTTATCGGCGCGTTAGTATTCGGGCATATTATGAATTTGTGGCGTTCGGTCTCAGTGTCACTCGCGCGCGTCTGCCCGTTAGCCCACTTTCGTCGCGCGTGCAAATATGATTTAGATGCCTGTGATGCAAATTGTTAGTGTCACCTTCGACGGCTTGATGGGTGAAAGACAAATAAATAAAATGACATGGGTCAATTCCGACCAAAATAATGTTTTTTCTAAAACGTATTTTAACTTTTATGTTTAAATTATTATATATAATCAACTTTAAATAAATAATTAAATTAACTTTCTTCATATTTTTAATTTTATAATTACGAATTTTTTAAATTTATTAATGAAGAAAATTAAAAAAAAATTATTTTTGAGTTAAAACATTATTTTTATTAAAATTCTTATTATATTTATATTTTATTTTCGTGTATATTTCATAAAATTATAATTCAAATTAAATTCAACATATAATGTAATGATTAAATAGTTGAAACACCCCTAGATGTTTTGTAAAACACACTATCCTCAAATTCCCTATTCATGAATTCATTTAAAACCAATCTTCTTTTATGCATTACAATTATCAAGTGTATTTAATAAAATCTTCACAACTCGTTTTACAATTCAACCATATCAAGGTAGCAAATGAAAAATAAATAAAAAAAGTTCTTATTTACTATCGAGACATAAAATGAATGAATATTCAGTATAATCCAACATGCATCCAGTTTCTTGTTAATTCGTTTCCCCTAGATATGGTCCCACTGGCTGGGGTTTTGGTTCTATCTCATGTCTTACTATATCTGCAAATAATACAAAGTGAGCAAACTTTATTCCAGTAAAATAAATTCAAAACTCAAACAAGATATGGAAATATATTTGAATCTCTAGGCTGTGCTAAGTCTACATCTACATCCCAATGTCCCTCTTGCCCCTTTTTATCTTTGTAACCCTAACTTACCACTCATGGATTTACCCTACAACCAGTTCGAGCCACCCACACATACGCCGGCCCTAACTCAACCACACACACACACACTCACTCTGGCCTTAACCCAGACACGCATAGATATTCACCGACCTTAATTTCCATCACACACGCACATCCCGGCCTCAACCAGCCACACACACCAGTCTTCACTCAGCCACACACACACACTCACTTC